TTGGTGCCTTAATGTGTCTATTGAAATACTGTGTTTATATGTTAATCAATTTATCCAGTGTACCCCGTCTGGGTCATTGAGAGTCCTCCATGTCACAGTTGAGATACAAGAGCAGGACAGCAGATGTTACTGCTGCTTGCATTTCACCTGTTAAGTGGATAACAGAGCAGATCAGAAAACTGAAATTTTCCTGTGAGAAATTTTGAATGATATCATTATTCAAAAACAATTTTTTTTCAATATTTTCATGCTAGAAGTTTCAAAACAGTTCAGGATGACAATGTTTGTTTTGATTTGGCTTAAGATGTCATTTTCGTTGCTTTAAACCAAAAAATAAAACAAAACAAAACATTTTAAGTTGAAACAAAACAAAACTTATTGTTTTGAATCAGCATTTGACCATAACATAGCATTTTGTTTTAGTTTTTACAAACTTCAAACTGAAATGGAATACGATTTTTAAAGTGAAAATGAAATGAAAAATTTTGTTTAATTTCAAAATGGTGAGTTGAAACATTTGTTTTGACATTTCATATTGGAAAAATAGCAAAACTTAAATAAATAACATGTATGCACAAGAGCAACTTTATGCAGGTGATCAGTAGCCCAATTGAAGAAAATGGAATTAGTCAAATGTGTTGTTACACATAAGTATAAGTGTTTGCAGAACTGAGGCCTAAGATTGATACTTTGGGGTATTAAATGTGTGGGTTTTTGTTGTGAAGCACTTAGCACACTGTTGGGTGCTTTAAAATAATAATAATATTGAATTTGCAGTTTCTTGGTTTGAATTCTTCACCAATATGCCTGCAAAACTGAGTTTTAATGAGTGGATCACTTTTAAACTACAGTTTGTGATGCGAATGATTATCGTTTTTTAAACCACATCATTTCCCCACTATTCTAATTATAGGGCTGATAGTTTCTGTGACAATATGCATGCCTCTGTGCAGCCTTAATATAAAGCTGATCTGAGAAGAAACACAACTCAGAAGCAGTTGATTCCAGTGTTCAATACATCTACTAAATAATTCAGTATCACTAATGGAAGTCTGATCTTAGTGGAGAAGCAGGCTTCTGTGGGCACTCACTGCTGGTTTTGGCAGCCAGACCCTGGAGAACAACAATGGAGCAAAAGGTGAAAAGATCTTTAACTGTTCTTGTGTTTTCTTTTCTGCTTTCCCAGAATTATATTATTTCTTCCTGGTGGCGGCTGCAGCTGAGAGGGTGATAGAAAGAAATTGATATTTACAGTATGTCTGAAACAAACAAACAAAGTTCAAACCAAGCTGACCTATTGACTGGCATGTGTTTTTGTTTGGTTTTAGAAATGCACTGCATCTTTCTGCTAAGTGATGGGAGCAAAGGCAATGAAACACTTATTGGGGGCAAATTGCACAAGGTATTGCCTCCAAATTTCATACTCAGGTTTTAGGGTTAGAATTTTCTAAGGAGTTGAGGTGCCCAATTCTCACTGAAAGTCTGAGAGTTGGGTGCCTAACTCCTATTGGCACCTTTGGAAATCCTTGCCTAGAGGTACTGAGCATCCACAACTCCAATGCAAGGCAAAGGGAGCTGAGGGTGCGCTCAACACCTTACAAAGGAAAATAATCAGCAAGATGAATTCTCATATGAAAGGGCTTCTATTTTTAGGTTTCAGAGTAGCAGCCGTGTTAGTCTGTATCCGCAAAAAGAACAGGAGTACTTGTGGCACCTTAGAGACTAACAAATTTCAGGTTTCAGAGTAGCAGCCGTGTTAGTCTGTATCCGCAAAAAGAACAGGAGTACTTGTGGCACCTTAGAGACTAACAAATTTGTTAGTCTATTTTTAGGCACACTCAAGATTCCCAATCCTGATTATCTTTAGGAAAACCCATCCCTTCCAAAAATACTGTGAACATCAGCTGGTGGAAATATTTGGGGTCATTTACTGGTGCATACCATTGTGCATCAACAGTCAAAAAAATCTGTATACCTTGTTCCCTTAATCTTTGCTCTTTTCCTTTCTAAAAGGAGCAGTCTTCACCACTCTTCTTTTCTTCTTGGAGTCACTGTCTCAGGCAGTGAAGAGGCTACTCGAAAGTAAAGGTTTGACTCCTGTAGCTCCTAACCCATTCTTTATCTTATTTTTTTTAACCAATCTAAAACTGATAGCTACAAACAAACCGTAAGGGAAAAGATTTAAAACCTAGCCAGAGATAGCAGGTTTCTCTAGCAGCCTGTAAGCAAGATCTCCTTTTTAGTTAAATTTAGATTCCTTGTGTGTCTATACCAGATTATTAATAACCAAGGGCTTCCTTTCAATATAGATATTTTTATCCTTCACGTTACCCAGACTTAACTCTTTGTCTTTATGTCCCCCTTTCCATCACCCAAGAAGACCATCTAGATGTAGGAAATAAACCATTGTTTGGGATGGGTGAAATAATAAGAGACAAGATGGTGAAGCAGAACTTGGCAGAATCCACTGGCTGCATCTAATGAGAATAGTTTTGCACCAGTTAACTAGTCAGACTATATCTTCCATGGTTCCTTATCACCATTCTTCTCCATGCTGTCCAGTTGATTCTGTCCCATCTTGCTTTAAGTACTTTGGGAGGTCCACCTCACTAGTTGTGAGACCGTCTAGAAAGTCACTTGTCATAGTCCTATTAATGTCAAAGGTGTCAAACATTGTAGACTCTTTGGAGCAGGAATGTGTCTTACTATGTTTATACAGTGCATAGCACAATGAAATCCTGTGCTCAGTTGGCACCTCTAGGTGCTACTGTGATACAAATAATATTAAAACACACCTATTACTTAACTTTCCAGAATTGAGGTGCTTTCATTTTTGATTAGAGTTCCTTCAGACCCTAATTCATTTACAGTTGAACAGATGCATAATCGTCTATACAATTGAGTCTTTAGCCTCTCCAAATCCTAATGCAAGTCACATCACACAAGATTAGAATTTGGTTCAATGTGTGTGCTCAGTTTCAGTAAATTCAGATCTGAGATGTGGTGGGGGAGGTACCAGGGATTGCTGTAACTGGGAAAAAGTGTCAGCTGAAACTGTTTTACAGTGGAAAATTGGGTTTTTAACAAAATGAAAATTTTAATGGAAAGTGACTGCTTCCTGCAGAAAGTTTCTCTTGCTCTCTTTAAAAAAACAAACAACCTCAGTTTTCCTTTTTTCAACAAAAAATTGAAATTTTCTGCAGGGGGAAACATAATTCTGACCTGCTCTATGTCTCAATTTTCTCTTTAGCCCATAGAAAAATGTACAAGTCAATCTGCAATATTCTTCCCTTGTCTCACCAATCTGCTCCAACCTCACTCTTCATCCAGAGCACACAGTTTTGGTGGCAATCAGATGAACAAACCTTTGAGGCCACAGATGTCAAACATTCTAGGCTATGTGGGGCAGGGAATGTCACTTACTATGTTTGTACAGTGCTTAACACAATAGGGTCCAGCTCTCAGGTGGAGCACTCCAGGGACTGCGCAAGTCAGCTACTAAGTATCCCTCTTTATTGTTGTGTGGCTTGCATAATTTTCATCCCATAAGAAGGAAGTAGATTTCTCACTGCAGTCCTGGCCATTTGACTCCAGAGAAGCCTGGCTTATGTTGCTAGCCCAGCTGCTAGAGAGAACTGTTCTATCTGAACCAGTCTACTATTTTGTGTTGATGATCAAAGTTGTTTGTCTTCAGTGACATTGCTATCATTAAATCCCGCTGTGGCTGTGTGATGAAAGCAAAGGAAGAAATGGAATGGATTAGTTTACTTCACCCAGAAAGAATCCAGGTGGGTGCAATTATCCAGTCTGGGATTTACTGTACAGTGCCTTTTATTGTTACAGGTGGAAGGTGTTAGATGATGCAATATACACTTTTGCTAGACAGAGGACTTTCTTAGCTAATTTATCTGGAAACAGGAGAACCTGAACTGGATTTCTGCACTAACTTGGAATAGGAGCCAAAATTTATAACCCCAGAAAGAAGACCAAACCCCAAAATGCTGTGTGCCTTTATAGCCAAGAAATAGTCTGACTCTAGGGTTTAGAAACTAGAAAGAATATGCCTGACTTTAGAATGTTAGCTACATTTTTAATTCAATTGGCAATTGGGGAGCATTCTCATTTAACAAATGCAATGAGGCTAAAAGTGGGGAAAGCCTGCCCCAAGTGAAAGCTTTTATGTAATTCCAGCAGTCAACAAAACTAGAGGTTATGAAATTCCATGAAAAAAAAAGTTTTGTGATATTTTCAGCCTAACTGGAAATTAAAAGTACCAGACATCTTTTTCTTTCAACGTTTCCAGCCCAATTCTGGACAGTCAAGAGATTCAAATAAAGTTGGATTCAAAGCCCAGTTAACTTAAAGGCTCTTCTTGACTTCCATGGGCTTTGGATCAGGCCCATAGTGCCAAAAAGTGAAATAATTCTTTGTGTCTGAAATTTCTGAGATTTGTTAATGGCTACCTGGGAGGTAAATGCGAATCTCCCATGCGCTGTGGCTGACAGCGAATCCACGCTAGCCGTCTCAGCTCCTTATGTGTGCACATTGCAAACAGGAACATAGATTCAATCGGATTTTTTTTTTAATAAGTTACCTGGCACAGGGGCTCGCAGACATTAGCCCTCCTGCCCCAGTACATTATGGTGCTGACACTGCCTCTCCAAGTAACAGAACTTGGGGAACTGTCACCGTCAGACGAGGGTTTTGTAGAGCTTCTCTTTCCCAACAAAGCTTTACTATTTGCTCACCAGAGCCCCAGTGCATACAACATATGAAATTGCAGAGGAGGGATGCTACCCTGCAGCTCCCTTTTCTTAGCAGTAACCGAGGAACTCAAATCCTGCACCTCTCCGAGTCCTAGCCCCTCTCTCCCATTCCCCTGCCTTCCTCCAGTCCCGGTGGGCGAGACTGCCCCTGGAGTGACCTGCTTTTAATCAGCTTCCCAAGCAGATCACATGAGTGCAAAGTGCTCTCTCGCGCTCTGCCTCCCTCCTCTCTCGCTCGCAGTCTGCGAGCAATTGAGTCCAAGCGAGGAGCGGCGAGTTCCCTGCCTTGAGCAGCCAAATCTTGGCGAGACAATCCCGGCCGGAGGGGGAAAGCGAGAGCGCACGGGGCGGCGAGGCAGGAGAGGAGCCCCCAGATCCAGCCCGAAAGAGACAGGTCGGCCCCGCGCTCCCAGGCAGCCAAGCCCACAGCCCGTCCCTCCGACCCCAAGGCAGCTTGGCCGACAACTCCGCGTAAGTCGAAGTGGGTTTGCTGGGGCTGGGGCGCGCGTGTCAGAGGGTTGCGCCCGAGGCGCTTTCTTCCGCTGGGGGCAAGGACAGCGCGGGGGAGCGGGACCGCCGGGCTCCCCTCAGAGCCTGGCGGCTGCGGGGGAGAGCCGGGCTCAGCGCGGACGGGGCGGGGCGGGGCTCTCACCTGGCCCGCCGCGGAACTGTAACGCTGCAGGGCGGTGCGGACGCCTGGCCAGGGGCAGGTCTCCATCCGCGGGAAGCGGGCTGGGCTCCCTCCGCGCCGCCGGGGGCAATGCCCTGCGCGGGTCCTCTGCAGGCAGCAACTCGCGGGGAGGGAAGTGAGCGGTGCCGAGGGGCCGCGGAGAGCATCGCTCTGGGCATTGCTGGGGGTCTCCTCGCCCTCCCCCGCCCCCGGCCAGCTGGTGATGGGCACAGGTGCTTCTCTCCCAGGGGATGTGGTGGCTGAGGAGCTCTGGACTCGCCCAAGGGACCAAAAGAGCAGCAATCTGGTTTTTCTTGGGGAAAAAAGAGCCGCCCCCCACCCCTTCGGTGACTTGGGGCTGTACTCGAAGGTGTTCCCCAGACACCTGTATCCGCACCCCAGCCTGCTCCCCGCCACCACGCAGACGCGGGACTCGAGCCTAAAAGAAGCCCCCAGAGCCCCCGAGAAGTGCCGCCCCCGTGAGTAGCACTGACTGACTCCAGGGGGATGATCTGTCTAACCCCCTCCCCGCAAGCTGCTCCAGCTCCCCTGCCTGGCTGCCTCTGCAGGCTGCTGCCTTCCAGGCCGCCGCCGAGGATTACTCTGAAGGCTAATAGGATAATAGAGCAGTTCCGTGCTCTCAGTTCAGCGCGATTTGAGGCAACTGCACAGCTCGGCTTAGCCACTTGATCATAACTTGGCATAAAAGGCTGGCGGATCACTATGGGGCAGGAGGGGGAACTTTACACAGTGTAAAGAAAAAAATGTCAGGATCTGCGGGCAGAAAGTGTGCTCAAGAGGAAGGCCAGCAGCATGCACCTGGGGTCCCGCAGGGACCAGTTCTTGGTCCGGTTCTGTTCAATATCTTCATCAATGATTTAGATAATGGCACAGAGACTACACTTATAAAGTTTGTGGATGATATCCAGCTGGGAGGGGTTGCAAGTGCTTTGGAGATAGGATTAAAATTCAAAATGATCTGGACAAACTGGAGAAATGGTCTGTAGTAAATAGGATGAAATTCAATAAGGACAAATGCAAAGTACTCCACTTAGGAAGGAACTATCAGTTGCACACATACAGAATGTGAAATGACTGCCTAGGAAGGAGTACTGCGGAAAGGGATCTGGGGGTCATAGTGGACCACAAGCTAAATACGAGTCAACAGTGTAACACTGTTGCAAAAAAAGCAAACATAATTTTGGGATGTATTAGCAGGAGTGTTGTAAGCAAGACACGAGGAGTACTTCTTCCTCTCTACTCCGTACTGATTAGATCTCAACTGGAGTATTGTGTCCAGTTCTGGGCACCACATTTCAAGAAAGATGTGGACAAATTGGAGGAAGTCCAGAGAAGAGCAACAAAAATGATTAAAGGTCTAGAAAACATGACCTATGAGGGAAGATTGAAAAAACTGGGTTTGTTTAGCCTGGAAAAGAGAAGGCTGAGAGAGGACATAACAACAGTTTTCAAGTACATAAAAGGTTGTTACAAAGAGGAGGGAGAAAAATTGTTGTTCTTAACCTCTGAGGATAGGACGAGAAGCAATGGGCTTAAATTGCAGCAAGGGAGGTTTAGGTTGGACATTAGGAAAAACTTCCTAACTGTAAGGGTGGTTAAACATTGGAATAAATTGCCTAGGGTGGTTGTGGAATCTCCATCATTGGGGATTTTTAAGAGCAGGTTAGACAAACACCTGTCAGAGATGGTCTAGATAATACTTAGTCCTGCCATGAGTGCAGGGGACTGGCCTAGATGACCTCTTGAGGTTCCCTTCCAGTCCTATGGTTCTATGGTGCCAGCAATGTCCTCACTTTGCAGGGCCGGCTCTAACTTTTTTGCCGCCCCACGCAAAAAAGAAGAGTGCCGCCCCCGCCGCGAGCGCCACGCCGCGCTGCCGTACCCCCCCCAGTGCCGCCGAAATCCCCGCCCCCCCAGCACCACGCCGCCTGAATCCCCGCCCCCCAGAACGCCACGCCGCCCGAAGCCACGCCCCCTCCAAGCATCGTGCCAACGCCCGCCCCTCCTCCGAGCGCCAGCCCTCGCCCCCCTCAGCGCCGCGCCGCGCCAACCCCTGCCCCTCCTCCGAGCGCCAGCCCCCGCCCCCCCAGCGCCGCGCCACGCCACGCCACGCCACGCCAGCCCCTGCCCAATAAATAAATAAAAACCTGAGCGCCGCCCCGGCCCAAGGTGCCGCCCCAAGCACGTGCTTGGTCGGCTGGTGCCTGGAGCCGGCTCTGTCACTTTGGTCCCAGAGACTTAGGGCCAAACTCTATGCACTGATAAGCACATTAATGCTGTTTGACTGTAATGGGAGTTAACCTGCTTATCCTAGAGTAATGTTTGACCCTTTACTGCCGCTAAAATAAGTAACTCCAACAGGTGCTGATGGATCAGTTGTAGAGTTGTTATTGCTAGTTTGTTTTAAATCTTAAAGGCCTGGGGGGCGGGGTTGGGAAAACTAGGCCAAACTCTGCTGTCGGTGAGACTGGTGTGAATACAAAGTAACACCATTGACTTCTAAGTGAGAGAATAACTTCTCCCATTGAGTTTAGAGATAATTCTGCTGATATATCGTACTGGTTTCTGTCATTTATTTGTCTTCCTTATATATATTAGGGCTATTTACATGCAAAGGGAATCTTTTCACTTCATTAAAAGTTCATCTGCTCCTGTTACTTGCTCTCTATCTGAGATCACACTTCTCAGTTTTTGATATCACAAGGAGATGAATGAATAATACATTTGAGGAATGTTCTGAAGCTTAAATTCCACCAGGAATTAAGCCTGCTGTGACCACGTCCGCTTGGGCTTGTTTATAAGCAGTGTGGAATTGTATATATTATGCCTTTTCCCTGTTCAATATCCTTACAACTGTGGCCAGAGGAGTGGGTTCTAACTAGATCCAGCTTACTTTAAGTCAGAGGAGCAGGTGGAAGGGCATTTTAGCCGAAGGTTCTTCAGCTCTGAAACTTGCTACCTTTCCATTGTTCCATCACAGCTTTAGTTTGGTATTGTTCTGAGCCTGTTTCAAAGTTCAGCTTTTGGGGTAGCTAATAGATTGAGGGAACAGGTATGCTTGTAGGTGCAGGCTGTTCTAAGGGGACAGTTGTTTTTATGTACCTTTTGAATGTTGCATGATAGCTGCTATACAATGGGAATTTTACTTTTTATTGTCTATTATAAACACCTCCCCCTTTCCCCCCCCAAAAAAAAAACAACAACACTGAAATATCAATCAATAGAAATGATCCAAAGGGAAACTTTCCCCCAGAAAAGGTAATATGTAATTTGTGACATGGTAAAGCTGTTTATTTGTTGTTGTAAGTTTGATGGAGGGGAAAGGAAAAGTTATCCAGCTAGAAGGAAAAAGCTGTGCATAACTTAATGACCATCTATATGGGCAAGTATGTGTGGAGGGACAAGTAGAAAGTTGGTGTCTCTCTGGACTAAGTTCCTTAGTAATTGGAACCTTATCCAGCACTCACTGAAGAAAAAGGAAAGACTCCCTTTGTCTTTAGTGGGCTTTGGAGCAGGCACTTGGTCAGAAGGGTGGGAGGGAATTTTGTCACTGGCTTCAGTTTGTGTCTTTTACAAAGGGATACATTTTTTGCTTGTTTTTATTTTAGTCAGTAGCATCTTCCTTCCCTCTCTGGTAAATGGTACAGACAAGGGAGGCCTTCATCGCTAATGTGGGCACTTTCTTGGTTGACTTGTGGGAGGTGCTGTCTGACTTCCAGCAGCATCACCTCCACCAAATTATGTCACAACTAGATCTGATCTCCCTTCTCTTGGTCTCGCTGGAGTCTGTTAGATCGGAGTACTCTCACAGAAGAACTGTCCTTTCTACATGAGCTCTGAAAACATACTGATTTGACACACACTCTGTTATAGTTTAAAACATTTGTGCAGTGCCTTAGTGAGGTTATCACTTATATAGAGAATTACAATGCAACACTGAGTTCTGTGGATGGAACTTGCTTTGCTCATGAACCTTGTCTTCCTCCACAGGCCACCTCCCTTGCATATATTCTCCATAAGCTTGTGGTGTTTTCTATGGGAGCAGGTCTGTGACTAACAGTGTAACCTCCACTTCAATATTTGCGGCCTTTTGCTGACCGGTGCATCAAAAGCATTTTTCGCTTAGAGGTTTCATTTCAGGGCTTTAACTGAGGAAATCTATATATGTGTCAAGCCTCTTCATAATAAATCATTTAAAATGCTGTCCTGGGATCAAACCAGGTCACTGTAACACATACACACTGCTCTTCATATGCGTAGAGTGACCTGCACTTGGTCAATCCATATACCTGGTATGGTTGTCTCTGATTTATCTTCCTTGGACAGCCTTGTTCACAGGGAGTTTATGTTGCAAATTATTCACAATTCTTGGCATGCTGAGCAGCCTCAAACTTAAACTGCAGCCTCATTTCCCATCCAATCAATACCACACTTACATGTGTCCAAGTTTCCATGGTGCCATCAAGCTTCTAGCTAGATATTGACATTTGACAGCAGGAATATCATTCTGTGTTGCTGTGTATATTTAGTGAAACTATCAGAGCCATTTAGGGTGTGCATTTCTAATTTATATCCATATCCTCATATTGTTAGTTAGTGCTTGTTAAGCGTTGCCTAACAGCCCTGGTTACATAGTTAACAGCAACAATGAACTTCAGATTCAGCTTAGGCAACAGGTGTTTTGAGATAAGCAGAAGGACCCATATTTTAGGTTAGTTTGAGCAATTTAGCACCACGTGGACACAAAGGATAACATTTTAAAAAAATGCCCAAGTCCCTG